AATGATTTCTTCCATTTTATAGGAAGCAGATGGGATTTTAATGAACTGTGACAATTGCTGTTTTCTTTAAGCAACATACATACACCAAGATCTATGCGCCCCTCCCAGGTGATAGGAGGCATAGTCACAAAAAGGAAGGGAACACTGGCAAATTCCCTTTCCTTCAAAAATCATCCTGCTTTGCTTTTTTGACTCTCCCCAAATAAGAAGAGGACAAAGTAAGAGAGTCGTATTGGGATATAATACCACCATGCCACTATTTCGTCCCAAAGAAAACAAAAAAGAAACACATCATTTCTTGGTATAAAAATGTCAGGAGGTACTTAGCAGGGGAACAGGGATATGGTTTGGGCAGAATGGTGGAGGCCTCCTCAGATGGCTGACAAAATTCTACCTTCCAGGGCCTCCCTGGTGGCACAAGAATTAAGCACAGCTATCTGCAGCCTCTGCAGCACAAGTTTGGCATATCCACATGGCTCAGCAGCCCTCTCCTATCTCACCCAGTGTTCTCCTCAGCAGTGTATTTCAGTCAGTCTGCCTGTTCTGTTCCCGGCTCTGTCTCTGGTGAATCCTCTCACCCCCCCTCCTCCCCCACCCTGCACCACTGCCTGCTCCCCAGCTCTTGCATGCATAAATGAATAAATTTTTTTTTTAAAATTCTACCTTCCAGTGAAGGTACTCATTGTGAGTTATCCCCATGTAGTAATTCATGAAGCTATATGTTTGTTTAATTTGTACTATATTTAAGAAAAAAAAAGGAGACAGAGGAGAAGCTATCTATTTCGTTTGGAACTGCACTAGTCATGTTCATCTGTAGGTATCAGCAGATGCTCCCCACCCCCCACCTCCCATTACCAAGGAAGTAATGAGGCTCCAGAAAATGGAAGAACCCAATTTCTGCAGAGGAGATGTGATGACAATAACTGCGTGCATTTCCTGAGAACTAGTGCAGTTAGTTGCAGTTGAGAGACTGTTCTCTTCCAATCCTTAGAGACTCCATTAAGTAAACCCTGTCAGTATCCCCATTTTGCAGATGAAGAAACTGAGGCATAGAAGGGTTGAGTAACTTGTAGTTAGTATCCGAGCCAAATTTCAAATGCGGGCAATCTGGGTTTTGCTTATTGGACTTGGTGGGGTGGGGGGGTTCCATTTGTCTCCTCTCTATCCCCAGAAACCTCATATTTCTAATTCATTGAAAAAAGAATAAAACACGGTTTTGCCAAAGAGGGAAGACAGTTCTAATTTTGGTAGGCTCTTGAGGAATGGGCACTAGGGATCAGTAGTGACCATCACCATGAAGTCTGTGTCCTTGAGTCATTTTGACTGTACCAACAAGCAAGCACAAGCACCTGTCCCCTCCTGAGTGTGACACACTCCAGGGACCAGTCGAGCTGGTGTGCTCAGGACTGAGAGGTCTCCTCAGACACATGACTTTCAGGGCTTAAGCCAGAAAACTCTCAGGCAAACTGGGAGATGCAATCACCCTAAGTGAGCCTCTGCATCCCAATCTCCCCCAGAACAAACCTCAGGTGACAGCTGGGTCATTGTGATGCATCTGTGGGCCACGACCCCCATCGGAGAGCACACCAGGAAAGGACAAGATCTGGCTGCTTAGAGCAGGGCCAGGTAGAGGCTGCCTGGGATTGAGTCAACTTCCTAATGCAGAAGGCTGAATTAATCCTGACGTCCGGACTGAAAAAAATCCCTGGTAGCCAAAGGGATGGTTTGAATGAGAATGAAATTTACATTTCTTTATATTAGGCCACAAATCCCCCTTGGACTTGCTGTCAATCTAGGCCACGTTTAATTCTGTCAGTCACTCTGAGACAGCACTGTGGTCTTAGCAGACAAGGATTTGTGCACACTGCTGTAATCCCTTGCCATGGAATGGAGCTCAGGGCATCCACAAATGTCACAGGTGCCTCTGTAGCTGACTAGATGTTGTTAATAGTGTTCGGCTCGTTGTTGGAGGGGGGATGATTCAGCAGTGATGACCTGACTTGCCACCAGTGTCTTTTCTCTGGTTGTGTAATGAATGGGAGGCAGGCAGGGAATTGTAGTCTCTCAGCAGTGGAGGGACAGAGGAGATGGTTAGCCAGGGGCCTTGGTGTGTGAGCAGCAGGGGAGGGGGATAAGGTGCTGCAGTGGTAGTGGGGGTGGGTGGAGAGCAAGGACATTAGAAATAAGGGCTGTGTGACCTTCATTCATATTCCTCACTATGTTTCCTTTGTATCCATTCAACAAATATTCATTAAGCACCTGCTGAGCATTTATTCTAGGCATTAAGGATCAGTGGTGAATATCAGAAATGAAGTCTTTGTCCTTGAAGATGTATATTCTAAGAGGGAAGCTAACCTTCTTGAGGAGTCTCCATTCTAAAAGCTGGGATCTCAGTCTTGCTGCCTTTGATGCCTGTTCATTATAATCTCAGAGTTAGTATGTCAACAGGTTATCTTTAAGAGTCTATTGAAATGAAAACATTGCTTAGGAACATGCATGAAAAGTGTGATCGGTAGAGTTGCTTCCACCTCTACCAATCCTTCTGCCTCAATGAACATCTCTAGCTGATCCTAGGACTACCAAGAACAGCTGTACAGTTTGTACACTGCGCAACATCACAGTTGAAAGGCCTCATCTCTAAAAACGTTCACCTTTTTAACCTTAGTCCTAAAATCTTGACATGTTTCTTTCCTCCTTCAGAAGTGGAAGTGATCCTGTTACTCTATTCAAGTCACTGGCTTTCAAATGTCAGTGAAATTACATCTTATAGTATGGACACATACCTCCACATGTACACAGAGATAACCAAAACCTTCCCCTCAATTAACCACATTTCATTTTGATTGCTACTGCAGAAAGTACATGGAGCCAGGATCTCGGCTTCAGTTTCAGTTCTTTACCTGCTAGCCATATTGGTTTGCTCTGTCTGCCATACCTGAGCACCACAAACAACAAAAATTTATTCCATCACAGTTCTAGAGGCTAGCAGTCCAAAATCAAGGTGTCAGCTCTTTGGCATCTTTCCTCTCTCCTAGCTTCTGTGACAGCCATAATCCTCCTTGTTTTATAGACACATCATTCTGATCTCTGCCTTCATCTTCTCCTGATGTGTGTTCTCCCCACACATCTCTCTTCATGTGGCCACCTTCTTATAAGAACACTGGCCATGTTGGGTTAGGGGCACACCCTATTCCAGTATGATCTTATCTTAAACAATGATGTCTGCAAGTGCCCTATTTCCAAATAAGGATACACTCTGAGATACACAGGGTTAGCTTGTCAAAATATCATTTTGGGGGGACATGGAGGTACAAGAAGTGGGGTCATAATTCAACATATAATGGTGACTTTGGGCACATCCTTCAGTTTCTCATCTGCAAAACATAGTAATTACCATTGAATAATTTGCTGTTAGATTTTTATATGCTAATGATATTAACTGAATATGTAACCAATCTTGCTCCCAGGGTTTCATGCCTGTTTCCATTCTACTCTTATTCTCCAATCACCTGTAAAACTGTATATCCCTCATGGCTCAGTCAATGAGCCCCCTCCTCCAGGAAGTCCTCCTTGATCACTCACTGATTATGGGTTACTCTCCTAGAGTTCTTCCTATATAACACTTACATGTTGTATTGTTAATGCCATTTGCTTGTCTGTAACTTCCCCTACAAGATCCCCAAGAATTGCATTGGACCTAGTATCTACTGTATGTTCAATACCAACTAAAATGCCCGGAACACACTCTTAGATGCCTACCAATAGCTATTCTTTCCTTTTGTTCTTTACCTAATTGTACTTTATTTTGTTCTGGTATCAACAACTCCAAAGGAGTTATGGATTCTTAGGATGAAACATAACTGGTTTGTTCTAATCATAGAAACCCATTCATCTTGCCAGGAATTGATTTTGGGGTAGTCAGTGTGACCCACTGCTGGTCCTTGAGACATAAGGGGAGGTCTGCTGGGGTGGCTTCAGAAAATAGCTTCAGAAAGATTCTAAAGACTTGTGTGAGAGGAAAGCACCCATGCCAGCCTCTAGATGAGTGGAGTCATGATGAGAGCAACACCAGGACAAATGTCAGTCTGCTAAGGATGGCAGAGCCCATCTGAGTCTTTGATCATTTTGCCAAGACTCTGCATTAACCCTTCCCTGGAACTGCCCTGCCACTGGACTTGTAATGTTTGCTGCCTTTTAGGTGAGGTTTTCTGTAGTGTGCAGCTGAAAACAACCCAACACACAAGTACTCAGTAAATATTTTTGAATGAATAAGTGTTTATGAGCTAAATCTGTTCAAGAAAGAGAAGGGAGCAGAGAACTAGAAAGTTGACCACTTGCCAAGAGCCAGGCAGGCTCACGCACAGTAGTTTTATCATGTTAGAGGCGAGGAAACTGAAGCTCTGAGAAGTTTGTGTATCTACTGAAGGCCACAGAGTTAGTAGGTGCTGCAGCTGAGACATAGATAATCACTCTTATGAGGATTCACTTCAGTATCTTAGTTCAGACTTTTCTCCAATAGTACAGGATTTAAAAAAAAAAAATTCATTTCCCCTTTACACTGAATTTTTGCCTGCTTGTTGAGAAGTTAAGCATTCTAATTTCAAGCATACCTGGGTCACTTCTAAATTTTGACCCCTATTTGTGTTTATCTTTGCCTATGACCTTCACAATCCCAGCACTATCTCCATCTCCCCCTCTGAAGTAGAGTGTACCGCCATAGTCCCCCCTCCTCTGAGTCTGGCACAGGGGCTTTCCAAGGGACCCCACCCCAGGATTCCCTTGTCACTTGGTTCCCTAAAGCTCTCTCCTTTTCCCACCAAGCTAATGCTGGAGCTTCTCTGGAGTTGCTGTGGAAGAGGGAAGGAACCCACAGCCCATGCTAATTTGCCATCTTGGCAGGAAGCCTGGGTGTGAGAAATGAATCCCAAATATGTCTAATTCCAAAACACATTTTCACCATACCATGAGACGTGCGTAGACACTTGTAGTCTAAAAGTATATTCTAGTAATCTTAGAAACAACAAAACTCATTCATGCATTTTCCTGCAGTCCTTTTTGCTCCCCCAATGGGAATGAGTGACAGGAACAGAGAGTGCCGTCTTTCCTCCACCCACCAGAATGTCTCCTTCTTGCAGCCAGCATTTCACAGATGAATGCCGTCGAAAACGCCTTAGCTGCATCCAGGGAATTTCAAGTGCTTTCCTTCTGTTTCTGAAGGAAAACAAATAAACAAATAAACAAAAACTGTCCTTCTGCAGCAAAGTCTCCAGAATTGGCTGTGGCAGAGCCTCGTGAGCTAGAAATCATGTGCCCTCTACTGGTCATCTGCAGGAAGTTCCAGACAGATGGCTATCTGCAGAAAATCATCAGGGAGTGTAGGCGAGGATTCTTAGATAATAAACTTGTATGGTGGAAAGTTGTTTGCCTTACAATTTTATTTAAACACAAAATCGTATCAAGTTCAGATATTAAAATGAGCATCTAAGCTGTCCACAGAACCTGACAGCTCTTAGTGGAGCTGCCCTGGCATTCTTCTCCCATCATTGCGCCCCCCTCAGGCTTGGATGGGCTTCAGAAGCAGGGGTGGGCAGAGCTGGAGGAAATCCACTCACCAGAACTCCTCCTGGGAAGAGAAGGCTGTTTCTGATGGGGAAATATTTGATAAGAAGCAGAGCCCTCTGTAGACAAAATGGTTCTCTTTTGACTTAGGATAGGATTTGTTTTTCATTACAGCCCAAGAAAGGGAAGATGAAAACAGTGAATTAAGGAAAAAGTGGGAAAGCTAGGTGAGGAAAGGCTGCCCAGCTCTCCTCAGTGAGCTCTGCCAGTGCTGACTCCACCACAACCCCCCCCCGCCCCCACCCCCACCTCCCGCAACACATATACCGAGTCTTCAGCTTAGTCTCTACTGTCCATTAATGTGTGAGGGGATCCTTTGGGGCATCTCAAAGGGAAACTGAGCTCTTCATTGAAATTGGTGCAAAGTGAAAATAGCAGGTGAGCACAAAAGTGGGGTAGCCTGGAGAAGCACAGGAAGTAAACCCCAGGAGCCCATGGTACCATCATGGGAAAGGACTGGACAAAATTACCCAAGTTACAGGTCACTGTGCCAGAGGGGAGCCCTAGCTGGCAAAGTTGCTCAGGTGGTAGATGTTTAGGTTTGAGTTTTCAGAAACATCAACCAAGCTTAACAGCATCACCAGTCTAAATGCCAAAATTCACATAAGACCCCTTCATAGTTTCTGGGCCAACTCAGAAATTAAAAAATGTCACATTTGGGTTCAGGAACAGAGCCCATAATCTTACAACAATATACTATGCTGCTGAAATTCCTCCAGATTTAGTGGTTTAAATTCCCCAAGGGCAGTGGGAAGGGGTGGTGACAAGGGGGACAGACCCGGATGAGTAGCCCGAGGTACAGGGACGTGTCTGTTGGGACATGCCTCACCCCGTCTTTGATCACAAATCCCACATGCTTCTGTATGCACTGTTACCTATCCCATACAGAAACTCTGTTTATTATTGGTTCTTTTAATGCTGAAAAATCTTCAACTGAGAAATGCTCATAGTCAGATCCCTCTCGCTGACCTAATCTACTGCCTTTTACCCATACCAGAAAAATCAGTGTTATAACAACCCTAAAACTGCCAATGCATCTGAAAAATATTTAGCTCTTCATCTGAGGATGGGACCCAACTGACCAAATAAAATCAAAATAAAGCTCATATAACTGCTCTTCCCCCATATCTTTCATGTGTGCCTGGAAACAAATTTTCTATTTCTTTCCATTGAGATTTCTTTCCTCCAAAGTAATCTAGGTATGTGGTTTCTTAACGTGCATCATCTTACACACAGATACATTGAGGGCAGAATGAGAGCTTTCATCAAAGGACCTAGCACCTATTTGGTGCCCTCTGATAAATAGGAAGTAAACAAATGCTGGCTATTTGGGCAGTGGGAGGAAGAACTTATACGTTCCTCCAATTTTACAGTAATAGACAACAAATGAAAAGAAAGGGCTAGGGCACGCAGGGACACACATTCGCCTCATCACTAGCCTCAAGCACTGCATGTCAGAGTCAGATTAACCAGAAGTCTTACATTTACGGCCTGATGATTCATTCAGGTGCCTTCAAATGCCATTTCCATCTTCCAGACTGACTTGCGCCGGCACGATAAAGTGAGGATGATTTGGAGTCATTTGCTTTGTTTCTCCAATAAAAGAAGGATTTGGATTTACACAGCCTCTCTTCTCCAAAGAGCTCAGCATGCTTGCCCATCTGGTGTTTCATTCTCTTGGTTTCATCCCTGTGAAGTGAATAAAGGGCGTAAGGCTGGTGTTAGGATCAAGGCCAGCAAGAGTATGTAGGCCTGTTCCTCTTCCCCACGAGGGGGAGCCCGTGAACCCCTCCACACATCCATACAGTACCTGTTGCCCACTCAAGTGGCCAACACTGCCGGGCAGGCAGCAGAGGACCTCTGCCCACAAACAACCCCAGTCTGCCACGTCTAACAATGGGAGGGACAAGTGAAGGTAGAATTACGACTTGGAATTACAATATTGTGTGATGTGAGCACTGCTGCAGGGATGGATTGGCTTTGGGTGTAGAGGGTCTACAGTAAAGAAGGAGGCAGTTATTGAAAGGTTTAAAAAGCAAAGCTTCAGCATAAATTAAGTGAAATCATCGGGAAGACAGTATTACATAATTTTTAATTTGTTAAATTAATTAAATCAGACTTTCCACTCCCCCAGATGTCTGTGCCTTATATGTCTTTTATGCCTGATTGAACTTAGCTAAATAGACAAATACGTTTCCCTTAAAAAACATGAAATAAATGACAGCTCCCCCACCCCTCAACAACAGACCTTCAAGTAAAAAATGGAGAAGTTGAAACCCTTGTGCTGGTTTGAATAGAACGTGGTTCATTACTATAGTGGAAAACAGTTTGGCAGTTCCTCAAAAGGTTAAACATAAAATTGACATCTTACCCACCCAGCAATGGCACTCCTAGGTATAGATCCAAATGAACTGAAAACACATCTCAAATCCTTGTACACACATGCCCATGGCAGCAGGATTCAAACACCAAAAGGTGGGGTCAACACAAATGTCCAGCAGTGGATGAACAGGTAGGCAAATTGTGGTATGTCCATACAGCCAAGTACTGTTCTGTCATAAGGAAGACTGAAGTGCTAGACATGGGGCAACTTTGATGAGCCTGGAGAACATTATGCTGAGTAACAGAAGGCCGGCACAAAAGGCCACATCTCGTATAATTCCATTTATATGAAATATTCAGGATATGCAAATCCATGGAGAAGGAAGGCAGAGTGGCGGTCACCAGGGGCTGGACTGTTTAAGGAGCATGAGGTTTGATTTTGGAATGATGGTAGGGTTTGGGGACTAGAGAGAGATGGTGGTTTCATAACATTTTGAATGTACTGGATGCTGGAAATCGAATACTTTAGAATGGTTTTATGCTATGTGACTTTTATCTCAATAAATTAAAAAAAGAAAACTTGAGACAGGAGGTGGCTGGATACAGGAGGACAGCAATCTTGATAGATGGCTTAGAGGAGGGCATTTGAGTCAAAGAGCATTGTGTGTAAGAGCTTCGAAGCAGACACATGTGGCAGTGTGTCTGGGCAGTGAAAACAGTCGGGTATGCTGGATGGGGGTCACAGGAGCTCTGGTTGGGGAGGGCTCTAGCAAGGAGTAGAGAATTAGATGGCAAGTAGTCCACAGATAGGTTTTCATTAAGTCTGTGAGTCCAATCATAGGAAATTCCAAATGTTGGACACCTGAGTGAGGGAAGGAGTTGGCCCTATCTGGGCCAACTTCACCTGAGTCTGCAACCAATATTTTTCTCAGAAACTATCAGTTCTAGGCCTGTCTCCAGCCACCGCTTGACCAAATGAACCACCAATGCCCCAGGGCAGGCTGCAATCATCTTTGCTGTCAGATCTCAAATTTTAAACTTGCACTTTAGTGCGCAAGTATATTGGGCCCCTGTGCACTTCTGCATTAGCAGAAATTGTGAAATCACATCATCTAGTTCTCAGAATTACATGATAGTGATACAAATAAATGATATTGTGAGATATCGGCAACAATTCTAATGTGATATGGACACATCCATGACTCCTGCTGAGAAAGCTCTGGGGAGCTGCTAGCACTATACTGGCTTGTTGCTTCCATTCGTGATCGAAGGAAAGGCTAAATTTCAATTAGAGCCTAATGAAAATAGAGATGCAGTTCACAGATCCTGCTTTAAGAATCCCTGCATTACAACCTGGAAAGGAAGCTGTGGGTGGAGCTAAAACTCATCCTCCAAACTGATTGGTTGTCACTGTTTAGCCAAAAGAATTGAAATTTGGGTATGGCCACCCTGGCTTAGGTCTGATCTCAACATAGTTGGAGACAGCAGGAAGGGAACGATGTGGTGAGCTGAAGGACTGAAGGACAGTGGTGGCAGGAAGGATGGATAGGGGGAGGGGACACAACCAGCAGGAGGGAGACATAGCTTGACATGTCGATTTCCTACCTGCTCAGATGACTGGGAAAGCAGCGATGTCTGCAGTTTTCTCTCTGTAGAACTGGTTGAGCATGTTCTGCCCCAGGAGGCTGTGCACCACCGACTGAGCAGAGTTTTAGTAACCACGATCTTTGCCCAAGCAGCTCTCCCTGTGTGAGTGCGCAAATAAGTGTAGGCAGGCCTGTATTTAGGGGTGGGTCATATACAAGAAAAATCCCCCCAGAAGTTGCTCTTACCAGGCACAGACACGGTAGCAGAAGGGGAAAAGCCAACTCAGTGGGGTGCGCCTGTCATTCTATGCTGACAACTCTCATGCAAGGCAATCCCCTCCCCCAACTCCTTGTAGTGTCCCCGGAAGACCACTGGAGGGATGACTAGGAAGTGTGTGCTGTTCCCAGGTCACTGCAGCTGCCTCCTCTGGGCACACCCAGCCCTGTCTTCCTGTCTAGTCCTCTGTACTCTCTGCCTAAAAGCTACCACTCTTCCACTTGTCCCCCAGGACTGATGTGGTCTGGCTCCAAGCACCCCTACAGCCTCATCAGCAGTCATGCCTCCACTCTCACTTGCCCACTCAGCAGGACTGGGCCTCCGGATGCTCAGGTGTGCTAGGCGTTCTCACCTCCAGACCCTTCTCTTATCCTCTGGCCCCGGATGGGTCTGTTTTGACCACCAGGCAAGGACAGGAACTGTGTCCTAGTCATCTGAGTTCAGCCTCAGCAACAGGAAAATGCTAGTATTTCTTTGTGGAGTGAATTAACTTTTGAGTGAGGAATTAGTGCGCACTAAATTCTATGGAATCTTGATGTTTAGATCTTGTGTAAGTCTGCGAGGGCTGCCAGAACGAAATGTTGTAGACTCAGTAGTGGCAACAGAAATTTATTTTCTCACAATGCTGGGAACCAGAAGTGAAAAAGCAAGGTGCGAGCAGGTTGGGTTTCTCATGGAGGCCACCTCCTCTGACTGGCAGATGGTCACTTTCTCACTGGGCCCTCCGCTGGCCTTCCTGCTGTGGGGTGCATCTCAGATATCACCTCTTGTAAAGACAGCAGTCCTATCAGATTAGGTCTCACCCTAAGGTCTCTTTTCAACATACTTACTCCTTAAAGACCTTCTATCCAACACAGTCACATTCTGAAATACTAGGAGTTAGGACTCCAACACAGAAATGCTGGTGGGTTGAGAGTGAGGAGGAGGTCATAATTTAGCCCAAAGATGTCTGCAACAACTTACTGAGCTGGGTGGCTGGTGCCGTGAGGCAGTGTAATTTGAAGGGTTTGTAGCCCTTCTTCTGCCCCTGCTTCCTGTGCTCTCATTTAAATATCATCATAGGGCCTCCCCGGTGGCGCAGCGGTTGAGCACTGGGTTGCGAAGCTGGCCGCAGCCTCTGTAGCACCGGTTCGATCCCCAGCTGCTCCCCGGCCACCGGAGGAGGGTCCCACATGGCGCGCAGACCTCTCCTGCCGCCCGCTGCTCCCCTCAGCAGTGTACTTCGGTCCTTCTGCCTGCTCTGCTCCCCGCTCTGGCTCTGGTGAATTCTCTCACCCTCCCGCACTTCTGACTGTGCCCAGTGCTTGTATGTATAAATAAATAAATAAATAAATAAATAAATAAATAAATAAATAAATCTTCAATACATAAATATCATCATAAATATAAAGCTCAGCAAAGTGATACTGAGAACCCACAGGCCACAACCCTTTATCCAAGGAAGTTGCTTCATTAGCAGATGGCTTTTTAGAAAGGGGCTGGATCTCTGGGGGTACTTAGGGAACATTCCACTATCACACTTGTTCAAAATTGAAGAAACACTCTTATGAAAAGAAATTCTCAAACCAATTTGAAATTAACTGAATTACTAATCACCAAATTAGAGTCACTTTTTATCTTAATATTCACCAGAGAACTCCTCAGAGTGCATGCCCAGAGAATCCCAGAATACCAGCCAATGGGTGGGCCTCAGAGTGTGGGGCTCTCTGCTCCAGCTGCTTCCTGCTACCTGTGGCTCTAGACCCTCCTCTGGCTGACTAACCCCCTCAGCACTGCTCCTCAGGCATGTGGTGCTGAGGCCATCCAACACAGATTCAATTTAAGTTTTCTTATGGACTGAGTTGTGCGCAGCCCCTCCCCACCCGTACTTACACTACCCCAATTCATAAGTCAAAGCCCTAACACCCCTTTGTCTGCCACCCCTCCCCACCACCCTCACTATATGTAGCCTTAGGGATATTCATGTGAGGAATATAAACAAAGCAAACAAACAAAACATAAAGAAAAGTATATTCTCACAACAGAATGGTGGTTGCCAGGCAACCTAAAGAGGGAATTAAGGTTAAATGTGGTCATAAGGGTGGGGCTCTAATCCAGTAGCTCTGGTGTCTTTATAAAAAGGGGAAGAAACACAAAAGCTCTCTCTCTCCACTGTGCATAGAGGAAAGGTCATGTGAGAAAGGAAGAGACCTCACCAGAAACCAACCTTGATCTTAGACTTCCAGCCTCCAGAACTCAGAAAATTAATTTCTTTTGTTTGAGTCAACCAGTTTTATACCTAATGGCAGCCCACCAGATTAATGCAATCTTGCATTCCAAATCCCACCCCCAGATCTACTGAATGAGCATCTGCATTTTTTTTAAATTGAGGTTATATGAATTTACAACACTGTAAGTTTCAGGTGAGCAACTTTACACCTTGACAATTCTATATGCCACATATCTACCACCAAATGGCAAGCTGCCATCTACCACCAACTAATTGACCCCTCTACCTGTTCCTCCTCTTCTTCCCCTGTAGTCACCACCCTTTTGTTGTCAGAGTCTAAGACTGTGTTTTGTTTGTTTTGTTCATTGCTTTGTTTCTTTATATTCCTCATATAAATGAAAGCACACACTATTTGTCTTTCTCCGTCTGACCTATTTCACCTAATGTAATCCGCTTAAGTTCCATTCGTGTTGTCACAAATGACAAGATTTCATCTTCTTTTATAGTTGAGTAATATCCCATGATGTATCTATACCACATCTTCTTTATCCAGTCAGGGATGGGCACTTAGGTTGTTCCCACGTCTTTGCTGTTGTGACTAATGCTGCTGAACATAGGGGTTTACATACCTTATTAGTATTTTCATATTCTAGAAATAAATACCCAGAGTGGAATTGCTAGATCATACAGTAGGTCTATTTTCAGGTCTCTGAGGAATCTCTCTACTGTTTTCCATAGTGACTGTACCAATTTATATTCCCACCAACAGTGCAAAAGCATTTCCACATCCTTGCCATCATTACTGTTTCTTGACTTTTTGAAAACCATTCTAACAAGTGTGAGGTGAAATCTTGTAATTTTGATTTGCATTTCCCTAATAATAAGTGATAAAGAACATTTTTCCATGTGTCTGTTGACCAGATGTTTCTCTTCTTAGGTGAAATGCCTGATTAGATCCTCTACACATTTTTTAATCAGGTGGTATATTTCTTGTTGTTGAGTTATTGTGTATTTTGAATACTAACCCCTTGACTGATACATGGTTTATAAGTATACTCTCCCATTCAGTAGGTTTGCTTCTCATTTTAATC